TCAATCATCACTCCCAGAAACCGTATGAATGGCTGAGAGGTGATTTCATGCTTGCCGGCTCATAGCATGATTTTTTTGAGCTTCTTCCTGCTAGTGATTAGTACTTGCAAGGAAAGTGCATTCTCTGAGACACGTGTTGTACATGTTCAAGAACATCCCTGGCGCTGCCTTGATGGTTGTTTTGAGCGCGACGTTGGGGATCCCGTCCAGCCCTGGGGCCTCCGTATTTTCCACTTTTGTACACGCTATCTTCAGCTTCTCAGCTGTCAAAGATGGAAAAGCTTCCTCCTCGCTTCGCTCGATTTGGTGGTTACGGGCAGGCTGCTGCGGGAACAGCACCGTGACGATCCTGTCTAGTAAGGCTGAGCACGTGGGTGGGGGCATCGGCTGGTTCTTCAGCCGTGTCATGACCACTTTGTAGGGTCGGCCCCATGGATCACCCTCAACTTCTTCCAGTAGCTCATCCCAACACCGCTTTTTACTACACCTGATGGCTTTGGCAAGTCGTCGCCGTGCCTTCTTGTGCTTTGCCTCCAGTTTGTCGGAGTTGAGCTTCTTTCGGCGTCTCTGGGACAACCTCCTCGCCTGGATACACTCCTTACGGAGCGAAGCAATAGTATCATTCCACCACTACATTGGCGGAAGCCGGTTGGTGGATCGCTTCCGGGGCATGGTGGCATCGCAAGCCCTAATGACCCGTTTCATCACATCGTCTGCGATTCCTGTCGCGCTGCTCTTTTCAATCGGTCCACTGTTCAGAGCTGCTCGGAACAGCTCCGCGTCAAATCTGCTGGCCTTCCATCTAAGGGAGTTTGTCTTTCTCGGTACCGGTCCAGCACTTTCCCGGTCGATGGTTACCTCCCAAGAAATTACCCTATGATCGCTGTGGTTATAGACGTCGGTCACCTCCCAGAAGTTATTCCCTCTTCCGAGACTGCCGCTAATGAATGTGAGGTCTACGATGGAATTCTTCTCACTTTTCACGTAGGTCGGTTTTCTCCCGCTGTTCAATAGGACAACATCCAGTCTGGACATCGCCGCCAGCAGTGCTCGACAGTGATTGTCCAGGTATTGACGTCCCCCGCGATAGCCACGGGAAAGTGTTTCTTTGCGTCATTGGCCAGTCTATCGAGGAAGTCGGTGAACTCGTCCAGAGTGAGACTAGGCGGAGCATAACAGCTGTAGAAATGGATATTCCCCATCTTAGCTCTCATGAAGCCTTTTTCCGTGTTATCGACGACGCCCTGCAAAGACAGCTTCCCGCAAGATCAGATGATCACTTTTCCTGTAGAATCAGTGACCCAAGGTTTCGCAAGAAGTCGTCTATATGGCTCCGAGCTGATCAGAAGATCCGGCTGAATTTCTCGCACAGTTTCCATGAGCATATCTTGTGCGGCCTCGCAGTGGTCGAGGTTGTGCTGCAGAACTCTCATCGACGTTTACTGATCAGCGTTTGGAGAGCCTCCTTGTAGGCAGCGCACCGACTGCTCCCGGCCATGTGGCCAGAATCCTTCTCTCCATCATTCTCGACACAGGGAGCGCAGGGTGGATCTTTTTTGCATATGTCGAGCAAGTGATCATTCTCACCGCATCTGATGCAGTGCTTGGACCAGTCGATTTTGCTCTTGCATTTCGAGAAGATGTGCCCAAAGTTCCAGCACCTGAACCACTTGATGGGTTTTCTTACCTCTTTTATGGGGCATCTGACCCAACCAATACGGATCTTCCCTTCCTCCCCGATGACTTTCTGTGCAGTTACTGCCGACAATCTGACCGATGCGGTCTGGGTCCCCTCATACGCTTTGCGTACATTCTTGATTGCCTCCACGGTTATTCCGCTTTCCTCGCCGGCCGTCTTCCTGAGTGCATTCGCGACTTCCTCCTTGGTGGATGTCTCCTCGATATCCCTGATCTCCACGTCGACTTCCTGCATCTTACTCACGACGTCCGCGTCATCCTTCAGGGCGTTTGTCATCAGTGGCCGCAATTCGCCACCTTGTCGGCGCTCTTCTTATCAAGGACTATTATTCCTTCTTATCAAGGACAAAAAAGGGGATCCGCGTTTGTCCTGCATACTTTATCGACACTTTCCATGAGCTGCTTACTGGAGACATTCTGCTTCATTTTTCACAGGATTTCGGCGTAGCTTTTCTCTCCCTTCGCGCGAATAATCAGTGCATTAAGGAGTCTGGGTCGCTTGCGCTGTTTCTCCGGCTCTTTCTTCTTCTTCTTCACCTTTTTCCTTGCCTCGACCAGCTGCCACGCTCTGTTTCGGTTAGGCTCTTCATTGCATTGGGCCTCGATAGACACATCTCGTCTTTTCACCCTCTCCGCCTTTTTCGACTCTGCTGAGGTCAGAGTCCGCTCCTTTCGCTTTTTTCGAGTCCTCTTCGACTTCGGTATCGGCGTTCCCTTCAGCTGACCCAGTTAGGACTTCCCCTATCCGCCATCTGGAGACGCGCCGCCGTAGAAGTTGGGCTTCTCCACCAAGGTGCCCTGAAAAGGATAAGCCTCGGCTCGGCGGTGTGTGTGTGTTTTTTTTTCGTCTGTTGGGAGAATGCATTTACGCACAACCACCTGAGGAAGGGGATTGGTGAATTCCCACCGTAAAATGAGTGGGATTCGAGCAGATTTTCAATACTCACTAAACTCCGGTCAGACATTTCCAATAACCTTCAAGTCCCCCGCGGCACCACCGCTAAGTATCCCTTCTCGAGGGAGGTATCAGCCATTTGCTCTTCCACGTTCTACTTCTACTACATATCCTCCTATCCCGCTAAGGTGTTCGGTGTGGATAGGAGGTTCCAGTAGATTCCTCGGCTATTTTGCTGCCTTGCTCTCGCGTTCCTCCTTTCTAAGCTCCGTCATGACTTCTGCCACGAAGTTGCTCGATGCGTCCCATGAGGCCTCCGATTGTAGCATGGCGCTCACTATACTCTCGGGGGAGATCTCTCCTCCTAGTACAGTCTCCCATGTACTGGGGGCAATGCTGAAGCATGGACAGACGGAAAACACGTGTTCCGCTTCTTCGTTGACTCCTGTGCAGACCGGGGATTCTGGGGAATCCTTATATTTGAATCCATGAAGATATTTCCGGAAGCACCCATGTCCTGAAAGCATCTGAGTTAGGTAGTAGTTGACCTCTCCGTGTTGTCGGTTTAGCCAGACGTCCTGTGGAATCAGTCGATGTGTCCATCTCCCCTTGGTCGAGGTATCCTACTGCAACTGCCATCGGCGGATGCTATTTCGCCTGTCTTCCGTTCTAAGCTCCTCTGGGTTTAGTGAGGTTTGTCCTTTTCGCCGGTAAAGACACCTTCGCTCTTCAGCTAATACTTCGCTAGTTAGCATCCTGGCAATCACATACACAGCGTCTTCTGATACTGTGCGGTATGCCCTGGCAACTCTTAGGGCGCTCAACCTACAGACCGGTGCCACTTTCCGCCGTCATTCTTGCAACAGCAATGTATGTTCCCAGACTGCAACGCCATACGTGATCACAGACGTGACCACTGACGACAACAAGGCTCTTCTTCTTTGCTTCAGTCCTCCCACATTTGGCATGAGCCGAGGTAGGATGGTTCTGACTCCCGACGCCTTTGTACTCACGTGCTCTGCTTGCTGCTTGAAGTTTAGTCGAGCATCGATCATCACTCCCAGATATCGAATGAATGGCTGGGATGTGATCTCATACCCCTCTACTTGCAGCTTCATCGTCTCCACCTGTTTCCTGCTGGTGATCAGCACAGCTTCGGTTTTATGCTCCGCTAGCTTCAGTCCGACCAAGTCCATCCAATGACATATCTTCTCAAAGATGATATCGAAGGTGAGATTTATTTCTTCCAGATGTCTCTCTACTACGACTACGGCCACATCGTCGGCGAATGCCACGAGTCTCGCCGTCCTTGGAAATTCTAGCTTCAGTAGTCCGTCGTACATGATGTTCCACAGGAGTGGACCTAGCACTGAGCCCTGAGGTACACCCCCGGTGACTCTGTACTCTTTGGGGCCTGTCTCTGTATCACAGTTGAGAACTCTGTCAGAGAAGTAGCTCCCTACCATCTTCCGCAGATATCGTGGTACGTGCATCTTCTCAAGCGCCTCCATAATGGAGTCCCATTTGGCTGAGTTGAAGGCGTTCTTAATATCCAGTGTCGCCACTAGACAGTACTTCTTCGTACCTCCCTTCCATATATTTCCCGAGATCGCCTCCTTAGCGATATTGACGACGAGGTCAATAGCATCGAGGATAGAGCGACCTTTCAGAAAGCCATATTGGTTGTCGGCTGGCAGCGGTTCTACTGCTGCTTCTATCCTCCTGTGAATGATACGCTCGAGAATTTTCCCAGCTGTGTCTAATATGCAGAGCGGGCGATAGGATGATGGCTCATCCGGTGGTTTCTTCCCTTTGGGGAGGCGCACTAGCCTCTGCTGCTTCCCTTTCGCGGGGAAGGTGCTTTCCTTCAAGCATGAGTTCCTTCTTGCGAGATTACTGCTCACGAAAGTGAGGTCCATAATGGAACTTGCCTTTCCTCTCAAGAACGTAGGTTCATCACCACTGTTCAGCAATACAACATCCAGAGACGACATGGCTTCCAGTAGTGCTTGTCCCCTTGGCTTCGTCTCGGTGCTGCCCCAGTCGACTACCCAGGCGTTGAAGTCCCCTCCAATTGCCACAGGGAAGTGCTGCTTCGCGTCCTCAGTCAGTCGGTCGAGGAATTCCTCCATAGTGAGGCTCGGTGGAGCGTAGCAGCTGTAGAAATGAATTCCATCAACCTTAGCTCTCATAAAGCCATTTTGTGTATCATTACTGACGGTTTGAAATGGCCGCATGCCACAAGCCCAGATTACAGCCTTCGTGCTAGCATCAGTGACCCAGGGTTGAGCGTCCAGGTGAAAATACGGCTCCGAGATGATAACGAGATCAATCCTCAACTCCCGCGCCGTCTGCATAAGCAGCTCATGTGCGGCCTCACAATGGTTGAGGTTAAGATGAAGTACTTTCATCGTCGCTTATTGAGGATCTTCTGGAGTGCCTCTTTATATACTGGGTATCTACTGCTGCCAGCAATGTGGGCACAATTTCCCGTGTTACCCTTCTCGGCGCATAAGGAGCATTGGGGCTGCTCCGTGCAGTCTGAAGCCTTGTGGCCGGATGTTGAGCATTTGATGCAGAGCTTGGAGTGGTCAACTATACTCGTGTACTTCGTGGATATATGTCCGTAGTGCCAGCACTTGCAGCAGTTAGGCGGTCGCTCCACCTTCCTCACTCGGCAATTAACCCAGCCTATCCGAATTTTACCATGGTCGCTCTTCTTCGCTACAAGCACCGGCAGCGTCACCAACGCCGTCTGTATCCCTCCGCAGGCTTTTCGCAGGGACTTCATGACGTCCAGCGTAATTTGGACCACGTTGCCCGCTATTTTCACCAGAGCTTCCAGAATTTCCTCCTTTGTCGTCATATAATCAAGATCTTTGATCTCGATATTCTTCTGAGGCCCCTTGCTAAGAACCTCAGCCTGTTCTCCGAGGAGGGAGGCTATGGTCGTTTGCAATACCTGGGCTTTGCTGGTGCTGTCTTTCGTTAGGACGATAAGCATGTCCCCTCTAGCTGTTCTGCGTATTTTGTCAACGCATCCCAACGCCTGCTCCGGGTGGATATCCTTCTTCACTCTGGTTAGTATCTCGGCATACTTCATCTTATCTTTTGAGCAAATGATCAGTACATCGGACCTGGATGCTGATTTGTACAGAAGCCCGGTTGTGACATCCCACAGCCGATGTATGGTTGCGTTCAATTGCGCTCTCGCCAGACAGACTATGTATGTCGGCTGCTCCTCAAGCGGAGTGAAACGGACCCATGAGGCCAGATGGATTAATTCAATTTTTTAACTACAAATGGTTTCTTTTTCGATTGATTCACCAATCTATATAATATTTTAGCCTATTTAAATAGTATTTATCAAATAATTAGGAAGATATGAGTAAATAGATATTAGATATTAATTTATGATAACAACATAGCACACATAACCTTCAATCGGTCTTTCGTCTTCTACTTTCCATCGTGCTGGATGGTGACAAGCCCCAGTAATTTTCAAAATGAGTTTTGTTGATAGAAATAAGAGGATTTGCAGAGGAATTTTAGAGATAAGAGAGGTACGTATTGCGTAGATACTTTTTTAACAATGATCAACCCATTTATAACAGTATCAATGGTTTTATCTTTTTCGGCGAGGATCTACTTGATTTCTATCGAATTTTTTTCTTTATTCTCCCTGGCATGTTTTTTAGATTAAAATAACTGGTACCAATGGAAACGAGATCCATCTCGACACGAATAAGAGAGGAAACATTGGTCTGCATTATATTGAACGTCTCTTCCCCAAAGCACAAGGCTTAACCTACAAGCTCTTGGAAAGAACTTATGCAGCTGAAATCAGCGAGGACAAAATGGAATACGTTTTACACATCGATGTCAATGAGTACGACGCATTTTTCAGTCCTGGTACGTATCGAAATGTGTAATTTTCGTATAAGGGTCAGATGATGATTATTTTCCGTTTTGTCGACCTAGAGGGGAAAATTTACCAGCTTTTCCTCAATGTCTTGAAAACGCAGAGAAATACTGAAATTTTTATGGGTATCTTAGATGTAGAGAAAAGTGTGAGCTACAATAATATCCTCACAGTAGTTTGGATTTTTCCTTAGATTTCAAGACATCGAGGAAAAAAAATTGTAATCGGCTGTATCCTTGATACAGCAGTAAGACTTAACGTGGACACGTCTAGGGGACGACTGAAATTTCTAGAAACTCTCTGAATTCCTTTGAAATTCCTATAAAGTCCCTGAATTCTCTGAGAATTTCTAAAAAATTCTTCGAATTTCTTCGAAATTTGTGGTGCCCATTTCTTCCGTCGTGAATCGAGTACATTCTCTTGATTTTATTTGTTGATTAATTTGGGTGCATTGCAGACAAAGGGGAGTCAAGTACTACTAAAGCCAAGGATTCTCGAGTGCAAGAAATCATCAACACATTGAGAGGAAAGAGTTGTGTGACTTCGATCAGTTCTTTGCCACAAGAAAAGAAGAGAAAGAAAGAGAAGAAGAAAAAACCTAAGAAACAGAGTCCTGATAAAACCATTGTGATAGGCTGGATGGAACAGGACTCCGAAGGAGCAAAATACACACAGATGAAAAAGCCAACTGGGGGTTTAATGCAATTGGAGCTGTATTCGTCTGAAACGTATCACGTTGAAGATATTACCCAGTTAGCTATCGAGCAGTTCCAAAAATCATCGGATACAGAACGTCTCACTAACTCAATTGTTTGTCTGTGACCTTTTAATGGATCTCCCATTAAGCAATTCACAGACAAAAGAGGATAAAAATGTGATTTATGGACATATTGTAGTGCGATAGATTGCATTCCATCGAAGCTGAAGCTCTATCTGCTGTCCAGACCGAAGTCATCACCACTGCCACTGCAAATAGTTCAAAACGAACGTGCTATTCCATCAAGTATTCCAATACCTGGATCAAGTGCATCGAAGAAGCTCGGGAAGGAAAATTGCCAGGATCTACCCCTGATAAGTAAAGATGTTGAGAATACTGGGGGAGTTAGTGGAGAAGATGGGAATGATGACGCAGAATCTCCAGATTTATCGAAAGAAAATGCAGATGTTAATGGAGAGATAACAGCACAGAATAATAAGGATGCTAGTAGAGTTGCAGACCACACTAGAGAGAGTGACAATACAGAGAGCCTTATCGCTGAGTTCAATATCATCAGTTTCACTTTCTATGACATAAAGACATCAGAGTACACTGGCAATGTTTCTTATCAATCAGTGAACAAGGAAACCATCTGGACTGAGTCATTCCAACACGATGTGGATTATTTCCATTTCAACCCTCTGGAGTATGGCTTTCAACCATCTGAAGTTCGTTTAAATGATAAAGTAATCCTCGAGGTTGATATCGATGACGAGGGGAAGACAAAATACTCTTTTCCTGATGCCGATACTTCTCTCTGCACCGCACACCAAATCATATACGATCACTCCAAATTCCATGGAGGACATAATGGGAATTATGCTATTGGATGTTTACCATTATGTCTAGGGACATGCAAATCGACATTTTCGTGGTATAATCGAGGCGAATTGTGCTAGGCTGGCCTGGGATTATTCTGGATTGAAATCCCAAGTAATGAATCCCCTGTCAACTACCAATGTGAACTTGTATGTGTCCCCCCCACTTCCTCTTTGGCCCCTGGCTCCAATTCAGACGAGAAACTCTCCATTGAAGCTGGAGAGATTGAAGCTACAAATGTCGAGATCTCGGATACGAAAATCCTAGATTTACCTGCAATTGATGACAAACGTAAGATTCTTGTCCTCATATTCATCAATTAACGCGTAATTGAAATGATAATCACCACAATATATGTTTCAGAACTTGTTACTGACTGTTACACTCAAGGACTGGAGAATGACTCTTCAGCTCTACAATCAAAAAAAGAGAAAAAGTTCAGCATTAATGAGGGTGGCTTATTTGAAATTATTATTTTTTATTATTATTATTTATTTAATCATGCCCCTTGGGGAATTTGGGCCCCATGGCATGTAGTAGGTTACAATGTTGGTACAGTTGATCACATGGCGAAATATAATAAGAAAAACACAGATACTTTTTACATAAGAGATACAAGCGTAGTTTTAAATAAAAAGCCAGCATAAGCGTAAATATCAACTGCAACAAGACTAGTGCAGTTACATAGTGCAAGAGAAATAAGTCAAGGCAGGATGAACAGGGGGGTGGGGGGTGGTGCGCGGTATATACAATGACCAGTCCATGCGGTTTGTGACGTTTTAGAATAAAGAAGGAGGCACGAAAAAAGAGAAGATGATAAAATAAAAGCGGCGACTTCATTAACGAGAGAGATTAGGGGACAATTACAATTCGTCGAGGTAAAATGCTCTAACAGTGAGGGAATTTTTAACAAAGTAAAACAGAGCCTTGGTTACAATATCGTCCTCAGACATCAGAAGCTGGCGCACATTGCTGTCCACATCCAGGTCCTTCTTCCAGTGTCTGCCAAAGTAGTAGAAGTGGTAATTTTTGTATCTTGGGCACCTTGCAATAAAGTGGGTGAGGTCCTCGCTGTCAGCGCTGTTACACACCTGACAGGGTTGGTCTGGTTGAAGTTTGTACGTGATACCATTGACAGAGAAGTTACATACATGTTTCATGGCTAGGCGACACTGCGTTTTGATCCGTTTCATAGAAATGGGGATCCTGCGATTGAGATAGGCTGCTGAGTCAGCCCCGAGGGAGGTCTCGCCCGTATATAAGAGCTTGAAGTGGAGACATTGTAGCGTGTTGTAGTTGGAGAGATCCTCCATCCGTAGGTGCGTTTGCCAGGCATTAAGTACCAGTGGCTCATACTCCAACCAAATCCCAGGGTCGCAGTGTTCTACGAGCCATTCGTGCTTGATCAGTGCCAGAGCTTGCTTGAATGTCCAGGCCCAGTTCCATTTACCCTCCCTGTCACTTTCAATGTTCTTAGACAGAGATATCAGGCGTAGGAGACAGATACGAGGAAGTCTCGAGGGCTCCATGCTTAGCAATCTCACCACCCAGCTGTACGATAGCTTGTAGATTCTCAAGGTCGTTTTATGGAGTCCAAGCTCCAGTCTCAGGGCACAACTGGGTGTGCTTCTTGGGAGTAGCAACAGTCCCTTGAAGAAATTCAATTGCGCCACCTCTAGCTGATTGCAGTAACGAAGAGCCCAGCATGGAGCAGCATACAATAGGGTGGGAGAAGTAATGCTATTGTATAGTTTCATCGTAGCATCCCAGGAGTCCGCGCCCGCCGCGGCGAGAACAGAGAGCCAGAGGCAATCGTAGCCTTTCCCAGGGCCATGCTGGTTGCTTTGGAGCCGAGTGAGGAGCTGGTTATTGGGATGCCCAGGTACACGTATGAAGAGACAGTCTCCACTGTCCTGCCATCAAGGTGGAAGGCCAGCCTTTGGGTCTTTTCTCTTCCCCCGTTGCGACATATAACTATTTTTGTTTTGTCGACATTTACCGTCATGCCATTCTGCTTGCAGTACTCGCCCGGCGTTTCCAGTTTATTCGTGAGGTCAATTGGGGAGTTGGCGAAAATAATGAGGTCGTCCGCAAACAAGAGCATAAGGAGGTCGGTGTAGCCATCAATATTCACGCCCTCCAGGCCTTTTTTCCGAAAAAAGTCCTCGATGTCACTCAGGTACAAAATAAAGAGAAGAGGACTCGCAATCTCGCCTTGCAAAACTCCTTCCGAGATGTCAAAGGTCTCGGACAACTGATTTTGGGCTTTGACTTGGAAGCAGGCTGAGTCGTAAAGACTCTTTAACACTCTCAGTAGCTTGGCACTTACCCCTAGGGCGAGGAGCTTATTCCAGAGCAGAAAGTGGGGGACCGAGTCAAATGCCCTGCGAAAGTCCACAAAGATTGTAGATACTGACCACTTTTTGAGCCTCAGTTGGAGTTGGACACCAGCGGTGACAGCGAATATGTTGTCCATGCAGGAGCGGCCTTACCTAAATCCCGCTTGACACTCTGGGAGCACTTCTGCATCCTCGGCCCAAGTCTGGAGTCTGCGTGTGAGGATTTTCGTAAGCAGCTTGCTAATTGTATTGATCAGCGCTATTCC